CGCGCAGCTGGAGAGGTCAGAGACTTGATCTCTCCGCGCCCACCACCATGTTGGATCGACCCGCTTATAGGAGTTTATATCAGGGTAAGAAATCACCAGTCCAGAACTCAATTTCATCTAGCCCAGGAACAAGGGGTAATCTTGTTTATGTCTAAAATTGTACAAATATAATTTGTCATTGATAAGTGTATCCTTTGAAAATTGATGGTAAATATAGCAAAAATTAAACAAATTTTTCCTTCTGTATGCTTTTCTGTTTTCTAATTTTTTTCTAATGAAGAATCACTGCTTTTAGCCTCTAAGAAGATAAATTAGCTTTGGTAAGAAAAATATTTGAAAATAGGCATTGCAAGAAACTTTAGAGAGTATTCCGTACTTACAATAAGAAAATTCCCTTTGAATAGTTCTTTCATGTGTTTATCCAACCAGCCACTGCTTCTGAACTTTCAGGGATAAGTAACTACCAACTGAGACAGCCTGTTTCGTTTTTCTAGGTCTGTACCCAAAATCACCTTCTGTCTTTTGAACACTGATCTTTATGTTCTCTAATTCTCACAAAATCACAAGGAATTTCATCTTCCATGTCCTTCATATAGATATTTAAAGGCTACTATCATGAGCCTTTGGCAGGTATTCAGGCAGTATCTATCTCTGTGCATTCTAGCCTTATCTGTTTGGGGCTATCACATAGCATATGCTTTTGCTTTAATTACTGTACAAACTGTTTTATCTTAGTTCTTAATTGAAAATGTAAGTGGCAATAAAGTACTTCAGTTTACATTCCTTAGTAAAATAAGTTGCTTTTCGCTTCTGTCCTATTAGGTCCTTGTCAAAATCAAAATTGGCTTTCTTCCTTTTGGTTCTCTTAAGTAATAAGGAATTTTAAGATTCTTAAAGACCAGTCAAAGGAGATTCTTACAGATCAAAGGAAATTTTACTACCCTTTTAAAACTAAAAGCATTATTTTAAAAATGAAGACTATGATGTAACAGCTAAACACTACCACATTTATTGTAACTCTCAGTGGATAAGATATGTCTCTTCAAGGTTTTTCCCCACAATCAGGAATTGTTTCAAAATGAGGCAATATTCTGCCCTTTTTTTTAAATATAACTCTAAGAATAGATATAAGGTTGGACCTCACTATGGCCCTGTTGTTACCTCATGTTGGTTGTATCCATGAATGTTCCCTCTGTTCTTTAATAGTAACATTAAACATCAGGTTGGCACCATTTTTAGAATATAGTTCTCAAAAGAACTTTGCAAGTATTACATTTTCAGTTTGTTGCAATTATATAAAATATATCCTTCTCAGAAAAGATACACACAGATCTTAGTGTGACTGACTTGGAAAAACAATTAACAGTAATTATTTTCTCTTCCCAAAAGAAATTTTTACAAACCATTAAATGTATGGTGGTTCATGCCTACAAGTGGGAATTTAACCAGTAGTGTTCTAAAACCTCTTGAGTTTTACTTTGCCATAAAATTAGTAGCTTTTAAAGTATATAATGTTCCCTATTTCCAGTTAATTCTGCTGGTTTCATATTCTGTGATTATATTGATGATACAGTTATAAAGGGATAGTGATATATGAGAAAGTGGCCATAAATAGTTTCTGAGTGAAGATACCAACTTAACCATATGTAGCAATTTTTGTCTATCTTGAAACCCCACTAAAATGCCTATGAAGAGGTTTTTTAGGAGAATGAACCCACAAAAATAAAGGAGATAGGAAAAGAGATAATAATAAAGGTTTGGAAGCTGGAAAGCAGATAAACTTGGCAGGCTGCTAAAATTCTAAGCCAGCAGAGGGGAAAAATAAACAAGCAGATATACTAAGCAAAACTTCCAAACATTCAAGACTTGGATGTACCTGGCACCTGGGAGCACTTAATCAGCTGAAGTTGTGAATTTGTCCACTTTATGTTGGGCCAATGTAGCATCCATACCTGAGGATGGGTAACTTACAAAGGAAAGAGGTTTTATTTTACACAGTTTCGGAGGTTCAAGGGCATGGTACTACCATTAGTTCAGCTCTGGTACAGACTTCATGATGGATGGATCACAGTAACAACAGCTCAGACAAGAGAGAGAGAGATCACATGGCAAGACACCAAGTCAGAGCAGGCAGGAAGGGGCCAGTCTTGCTTTTCTATAATAACCCTCTCTAGAGAACTGCCTTAATTGCTTCAGAGAGCAGAATCCTAGTGACCTAATGACCTCCCATTACTCCCCACCTCTTAAATGTCCCACTGCCTCTTAAAACCATCCCACTGGGAACCAAGACTTTTAACACAAAAACCCTGGAGGATACACTTTTGTCCCAACCATAGCAGATACTAGATTGAAAACAGATTAAATGAGCTGAGATTCCCAGTCTTCATTTCTTTCTCAACAAACAGAATGCTCTCTTCCTGCCCAAACCTCCAAGCAAGAGACTGAAAAGTGCTTTTCTGAGGAATCTGACTAGCCTAAGAGTAAGGGCATGAAGGTTTGAAATAAAGGCATGAAGGTCGTGCCCAAGGAAAGAACCAAACCAGATCATTTTACAGTAAATCCCAGAGTCAACAAACCAGTGGATCAAAACTTCCAATCAGCTTTCAATATCTGCTCTTAAGAATAAGCAGAAACAAGGGCTCAGAAGGTATCTGAGTAGAGCCTCTTTACAAAAGATAGAGACCAAACAAATGCAGATGATAACTCAGAGAAACAGACTTTCAGAGAAAAGAAAACTTCAGCAACAACAAAACACTGATTAACATCCTTAGAGAGATAAGAGAAGGTTCTTTTATAAAATAGGAGTATTCAGGGAACCACTAAAAGAACTATAAAATCAAAACTATAATAGCAGAGCCGGGTGTGCGTACCTGTAATCCTAGTAGCCTGAGAGGCTGAGCCAGGATGATTTCAAGTTCAAAGTCAGCCTCAGCAACTTAGTGAGGCACTTAGCAACTCAATAAGACCCTGTCTCTAAATAAAAATATAAAAAAGGGCTGGGGATATGGCTCAGTGGTTGAGCACCCCTGGGTTCAATCCTCAGTACTGAAAAAGGGAAAGAAAAAAAAACTATAATAGCCGAATAAAAAAATCAGAATATTTAGAAAATAAAGCTAAGTAAACCTCCCAGAAAGAACTATTTTTAAATTTTTTTTTAGTTTTAGGTGGACACAGTATCTCTATTTTATTTTTATGTGGTGCTGAGGATCGAACTCAGTGCCTCATGTGTGTTAGGTGAGCGCTCTACCATTTGAGCCATAACCCCAACCCCAAGAACAATTTTTAAAAGGATGAAGCAATCAAAAAATAAAAACAAGGTGTGAAAATCAGAGAAGTCCAGTATAAATAAAAATTGAAATACGATTAAAGATTAATATATGATTTTTAAATTTAGCCACAAAAGTAAAAAGAAGTAGGTAAAATTAATTTTAATTGCACAACTTACTTACTCTAGTATACTCAAAATATTAACATTGTAATATGTAATATACATTACTGATGTATTACATTCATTTCTTCATATTAAGTATTCAAAAATCTGTTGTATGTTTACACTTAGAATATTTCATAATGGACTAGCCACGTTTCAAATGCCTGGTCTAAATAACAGAAGTTGTAAAAAAAGAGAACAGAGAAGAAGGAAGAGTGATAGGAGAGAGAAAATAATTTATAAAAATTTCCAAAGACTGAAAGATACTAGTTTCCAAAGTGAATAGGTTCTCAAAAAAACCCAGTAAAATAGATGAGTTAGATCAAGACAAAGACACTCCATCATATTTCAAACCACCAGGGACTCAGAGGCACCTCTGTAGGTTACAGTGAAAGGATCAGATATCAACGTGGATTTAAACTTCTGGGTAACACTGGACAGACAAAAGACTATATACATCAGTGCCTTTAAACATCTGAAGGAAAAGCAACACCAATATTTAATTCTATAACTAGCCAAAATACAAACTAAGAGTAGGAAAAGGGAACTTTCCCACATCCAAGATCTAGGCTGGGTGAAGTGTTGTACACCTGTAGCAGGAGGATTGCTTGAGTCCAGGAGTTTGAGGCCAGTCTGGGCAATGAGACCCCACCTCAAAAAATAAAAAGATCAAAATATTTACCTGCTGTTGAAGAATGTGCTAAAGAAACAAAGAATGCGGGAAATGTGAGATATAAGAAAGGTATCACTAGGTATCAACAGGATGAAACTGTGAACCAAGCATAGAGACCAAGCCAACTAGATTAAAGAAGGTCAAAAGAAACCAAGGAAGGCTTCATCAAGAAATTCAGTTGCTACAGGGTACGGTGGTACTCTTTCTGTAATCCCAGTGATTCAAGAGGCTGAGGCAGGAGGATCCCAAGTTTGAGACCAACTTCAGGAACTTAGCGAGACCCTGTCTCAAAATAAATTAAAAGAAAAGAAATTAAAAGGGCTGGAGATGTATCTCAGTGGTAGAGTGCTTTGAGTTTAATCTCCAGTACTGGAGGGGAAAATACAATTGCTAAAATACCTGATGGGACTAAATGTGGATTTAGACAGCTGGCAGAGATTTGGAGGAGGGAAGAAGTCAAGTACATGGAAGACTAAGCAAATAAGAGATTAAAGTATAAAGTTATAAACTCAGTGTTGATGAATTTAAATTAAAAGTTTGGGAAGGGTGTGCAGGTAAAGTATATGAAGTAGTTAAAGAGCTATAACCTCATCTTTTTTAGAGCAAAATCAATAGACAGCTCTTACAACAGAAATAAAAGGAAAAATAAGATGTGTAACCTGAAAATATGAAGGTAAAAAGTAAAGCAGGTGTGGAAAATGGTTGATTCTGGGATGAGAAAATAAAAGGAGGAAAAGGTCTGCCATTTTTTTCCTAACAAACTTTGTAGAACTATGTCCAATTCTGAAGTATATACACATGTAAATTAATTTAGGAAGAAACACAGGCAATAACAAATCTTGATGAATAAAGGACGCTTACCAGGCCCATGCTAAAATGAGTGTCCTTATCTCCTAGCATTGAGTATTGGTTCCGCTGCATGGACCTGGATGGAGATGGTATACTCTCCATGTATGAGCTGGAGTACTTCTACGAGGAGCAGTGTGAACGGATGGAAGCCATGGGCATTGAGCCTTTGCCATTCCATGATTTGCTGTGTCAGATGCTTGACTTGGTGAAGCCAGCCAATGATGGTGAGACCCAATAAATAGCATATGGCACTGTTTACCTTTTTAACAGAGTGGGGCACATAATACTACATAGATCCTAACTTCTTTAACTTTCCAGAGTCTTTTTATTTTTTTTCCACAGCACTATGAAGTCAACCCAGGGCACTTATTTTACTACTGTGCTACATCCCTAGCCCTTTTTTAAAATTTTTTTTTAAAGAGAGAGGAGAGAGAGAGAGAGAGAGAGAGAGAGAGAGAGAGAGAGAGAGAGAGAGAGAATTTTTAATATTTATTCTTTAGTTCTCGGCGGAAACAACATCTTTGTTGGTATGTGGTGCTGAGGATCGAACCCGGGTCGCACACATGCCAGGCGAGCGCACTACCCCTTGAGCCACATCCCCAGCCCGCCCTTTTTTAAATTTTGAGACAGAGTCTCGCCAAGTTGCCCAGGCAGGTCTCAAACTTGCCATCCTCCTGCCTCAGCCTCCTGATCTGGGATTACAGGTGTGCACCACCATGCTTGGCTCCAGGGTCTTTCTTGTGGGCTTCCCAAGAACAGAAGTGTTTGAAGTTTCCCCTTGGCTATTGAGTGGAGAACCAGCAATAATTGCAAATGCATTGTTTTAAAAAAAAAAAGATTTTTCCATAGAGACAGAAAGCAAAATAGTTGTTTCCAGGGGCTGGAAAGTAAAGGAAAAAGGGAAGAGTTTCTTTTTGATGTGACAGTACCATGGAACTAGATAGTGGTGATGGTTGTACAGTATTGTGAGTATCCTACTAAATTGTAACATTTAAAATTTTGTGTTTTGTGAATATTATGTTGATTTTTTAAATGTGATTTTTATAATAAACTTTTACATACACTTTAGACATCACTGGAAGTTTTTTCTTTTGTCAGAATAGCTCTTGATGAAATTTACCAGTTATATTTGTTTTTATGTAGGCAAAATAACTCTACAAGATCTGAAGAGGTGCAGAATGGCTCACATCTTCTATGATACGTTCTTTAATCTGGAAAAATACTTGGACCATGAACAGAGAGATCCCTTTGCAGTCCAGAAGGTACCAGTATAAGTTTAACTTTATTTGAGAGCTATAATATCAGGAGCTGTGTGCTACATATTAAAATGGTCTCTGCATGTAGGAATCTTAGTATTTAAAATATCTTCACCAAATGTTGAAAAGAGAATAAAGTATATAAGGCCCTGGGTTCAATCACCAGCACCACAGAAATAGAATAAAGGACCAAAAGCACATTTCTCCCCACAGCCGATCTTGAAGTTTAGGTAAACTTCATCTACCTACACTTTGAACTGAATGGACTGTGTACTTGCATACACATTAGAACTAGTTTCAAAAAAGTATTTTTGAAAAAAAGTTCAGCTTTTCAAAATATATTAATAGGCACATCTGTATTAGAAACTATATTGACCTTGATTTAATTGTTCTAATAAGCATATTTGGGATTTTGTAATAAATAACTTGCCCCTTCCAAGTGAAATCTAGAAGCCTTTGATAGTTACCTTCAGAAAATACAACATTTTTCAAGTGTTAATGATTGCTGTTCATGGCTATCAGTTTTAAATATTGTTCTGCATCTGATTAGAGATGCCCAAAAACCTTAGACCCTCAGTAAACCTTGTACATGTAATCCATGTCAAAAACAAAACAAAAATGAATATAACCACTTGCTCCACCATTCCCCTGTTTAAGAAGTAAAAATTATGTCAATAGGAAAGACTGTTTAGCTCAGTAAAATACAACTACAGGTAACTTTAAAAATCTTTTCTTATTCTTCCATATATTATATAACTGTTGACCTAAATAATGGTAAGATTATAAAAATCACCTTCTAASAACAGTTACTCTGCAGCTGACCTTGGGGCATAACCAAGGTTCGTTATTGCTAACTAACATCAATATAATGTTTCATTGAATTTAACATCCTCCATTATTTTACATATCTAAGCAAAAACAATTGCCAATTATTAGTCTACAATGCATAGCAATGTCATAAATGTTAAAAGGGTTGGGTAGTGGATTTAACATGGGTTAAATATAGTAAGTAATACATTTTGTGGCCAGTGTTTAGGTACTTATATTCTAGATATAACCAACCCTACACTAGAGCAATACTAACTCCTTTTCATCTTGGAAAGACATTTGACCTAGAATATAATCTAAGACACTGCCCACATGTAGGAGGGCAAGAAAATAGTTATTCCCCTCACTTATTTTTACCTTATATAAATTTTACTTTTCTTTCTATGAAGTGGTAATTATCAATATTTATTCATAACTGTGAAAAACAAGTCAGAAAGTAACAAAAAATTCACTATGTTGAAAAGATACTGAGTATTTGGAGATTACAAAGACAGAACAGCAAAAGTTTGCAAATAGTTAGAAAAAAAGGGACCTAGAAGAGAAAGGCTGCTTCCAGGAGGAGCTCACAGGTGATATGATATCTGAGCTGGCTGTTAAAGAAACAGTAAAAATTTGCCAGAGAAGCTGGGCATAGTGGTGCATGCCAGTAATCCAGCAGCTCAGGAGGCTGAGGCAGGAGGATGGCGAGTTCAAAGCAAGCCTCAGCAAAAGTGAGGCACTAAACAACTCAGTGAGACCCTGTCTCTAAATAAAACACAAAATAGGGCTAGGGATGTGGCTTAGTGGCCTAGTGCCCTCAGTTCAGTCCCTGGTACCAAAAAAAAAAAAAAAAAATAGCCAGAGAAAAGAGTGGTACATTTCAGGTAGGCATGTACAAATTACATCTCTCTTCAGATGCTGCTACACAAAGGGCTGGGGAGAAGGAAATGGAGAAACATCTCTGATTACAAGGCTAATAAATCCAGACATAAAAAAATATGGCTGCTAAACAACAATCCTGTACAAGAAATAACTTCTACATATAATTTATACTAGTCAGTGCAACAGTTTTGTTTGAATTGTAGAAAATCATCATAGGCGTGTTACCTTACCACCTCTTTTAACATGTTGAAACACTTTTCAGAGAAGTATTTTTAGCATATACAATATTTGTTATGACCTACCTTCAATTTTTTGTCTTTGATTATTTTTGTTTCTCTCTCTGTCCTTGTTCTAACCAGGATGTTGAAAATGATGGGCCTGAGCCCTCTGACTGGGACAGGTTTGCTGCTGAGGAATACGAGACACTTGTCGCAGAGGAATCCGCCCAAGCACAGTTCCAGGAAGGGTGAGTGAATCTCCCCATGTCTTATAGAACTCTCTAACAGGGGTGCCCATATCAGGAATATAAAAATACCTTAGATAAATCTTTTTCTAGTTTTTTTTTCTTTTTTTTTTTTAATACCTGGGATTAAACCCAGGAGAATTTACCCATTGAGCCCACATCCCCCATTTTCATTTTGAGCCTTTTTTTTTTTTTTTTTTTGAGACAGCGTCTGGTTAGGGACTGGTTAAATTGATGAGGCTGGCCTTGAACTTTCAATCCTCCTGCCTCAGCCTCCTGAACCACTGGGATTACAGGTGTGTGCCACCACACCTGGATGTTTTTTCTATTTTTTTTTAATTTTAATATTTACTTATTATTTTAGTTTTTCAGCGGAAACAACATCTTTGGTTGTATGTGGTGCTGAGGATCGAACCCAGGCCGCACGAATTCCAGGCGAGCGCGCTACCGCTTGAGCCACATCCCCAGCCCTGTTTTTTCTATTTTTGAATAACAAAAATGATTGATTTAGCCAACTTTAGTTAAATGAATACTTTTCTCGGCATTCTTCTCTTCCACCATTTATTTCCTAGTAAAGTCTTCTCATGTCCCATTTCCTTTAATAAGTCACACCTTTCACAGAAACCAATATCACTGGGTCATACCACTGCTTTAATGATATCAGTAAACTTGGTGGATAAAGGAGGAAGCTATAGGAACTGAAGCTCCTTTTAAAAACAAGATGATCATGCTTTTAAAATAGATCTTTATCACATATTGTTTTGTGCATTCGAGCCTGTACAAGAAGTTAACTTCTGTATATTATTTATACTAGTCAGTGCAAAATTCCATGGAGGGACCATGTTCACAATCAAAAATATGTCAAAACATACTCTACTATCATATATAACTAAAAAGAACAAATAAAAAGAAAAAATGAATGCAAGAATTTGACAGATGTAACATTTCAGCAATTTTATAATTTGCTGGTTTTTTTCCATTATAATCTAATGTCTCCTAATTCTTCCTTAGTCCTTGTTTCGTAGTACATTCATATGACATAATATTCAAAGAAAAAAGTGAATAAATATTAAAAGTCTCCCTGTCACCCAGTTCTCCTCTCTCAAAGCAGCCAGTGTTATCATTTCTTTGTATACCTTTCTAGACTGTGTGTACTGTGTGTATATGCAAATATAAATACATTGTTTTGTTTTTATTTCTTTTTTAAATACTGTGAATTGCACCCAGGAGTGCTTTATCATTAAGCTACATCCCCATCCCTTTTTTTTTTAATAGCTTTATTTATTTTTATGTGGTGCTGATGATCGAACCCAGTGCCTCACACGTGCAAGGCGGGTGCTCTACTGCTGAGTCACAACCCCAGCCCCCACACCGAGTCCTTTTTATTTTGAGACAGGGTCTCACTAAATTGCTCAGGATCTTATAAGGTGCTGAGGCTGGCTTCTGCATCCAGGGATTAGAGGTGTGTACCACCATACCCAGCTTATTTTATAGTTCTTTACTAACATCATATCTCTAACACCTCATTATTGGAAATTATAGTGTTGCAACAAATCATCCTATATACACATCATTTTATACATACACAAGCTAACTTCCTAGAACTATGGCAAACAGACAAGCATAGTCAAACTAGGTATTTGTAAAAAGTATGCAAAGATATGAGATTTTAGAAAAGCCAAGCAATGATGCATTCACCTAAAACAAGCAAGAGTGGGGAGCCACTTTCAGTTCCTAGGCCCAAAGGGACAAAGAGATGAAACCATCACTAGAATCCAAAAGAGAGGGGCTATATAAAAGGGGCACCTGACAGAATCTGTGACTTTCAGTTATGGGATTTTACCAACCTGGGCCAAACCCAGCTGAGAGAGAGTTGCTAGAGAAAAGTACCCAACTTCATACCCTTCAGTAACTTGCTGGTGCCTCCTGTTCATCCAGTCAGAAATCAGAAGACAAGGGAGGCCCCTATGTGATGAGTTCAAGTCAGGCTCCTGAGACATAAAGCTAAGGGGGATCTGGAGTGATAAACAGGAAATATCCAGCCCAATGGATACTGTAGTAAAATTGTACCATCTTACTCCTCCATCATGCTTTTTTTTTTTTTTTTTTTGTGGATGTAGGACATGCCATCACTAACCTCCCTCCCCTTTTATTTTAGTTGATAAATGTAATTAACTTCCATATAATTTAGGACCATTTTTAAGCCAAAAATCACATGGCTAAAAAATTAAATTTTTTTGATTATGTGACATGGAATTAATACGTATAGTGTTTTTGAAGATTGGAAACAGTTTTATTTAAAAAAATTAGAAACAATGATTTTATTTCGAAAATATACTCTCCATAAGTAAAATAACAGTGACACTATGTTACACATAGAAATGTTTAAAACTATGAATATATAACAAGAAAAATCATTCTGCTTATGTTGTTTTTAAAGTTTATATATTTAGTACAAATATTCTTTTTGCTTTAATGAGTACAAAACATGTAACTTAAGTAAACATTTTATTTGAAAATTATTTTATAGTACATCCATAAGAATGGGACTAAGATATGCCAATGTTTGTATAATTATATCCAAATGGATTATATAACTAAAAAGAACCAATATTTAAAAAGCAAAAGAGAAAAATATTTTAAATTATAGTTATCCTCAGGTATCCTTGTTTGGACAATAAATAGTAAGGAACTCTTTTTAGAGAAGTCAGCAGTATGATTATAGGGTAAGAGGAGCAGGATTCTTCAGCAACACACACAAAAAAAATGAGGCTAACCCATTCTGTGGTGGGGACAGGGTCATGGAATGTTTTTCAGGAGGTCAATGACTACATTAAGACCTGAAAGATGGGACTGGAGAGTTGCTCAGTGGTAGAGCGCTTGTCTATCATGTGTGAGGCACTAGTTCGATCCTCAGCACCACATAAAAAAAATAAATAAAATAAAGGTATTGTGCCCATTTATAACTAAAAATAATTTTTAAAAAAAGATGAAGAGGAGTTACCCAGAGGAGAAAATAGGGAAGAATACTTCAGGAAGGATAAACAGCATAAAACAGGCTCACAGGCAAAGTGTAGTTCTGCCCATGATTTAAGGTTTGTTTTTGTTTTGTTTTTGTATTTGTCCATGGATATTTATTTACTTATTTATTTGCATGTGGTGCTGAGAATTGAACCCAGTGCCTCACACATGCTAGGCAAGTGCTCTACCACTAAGCCACAACCTCGGCCCTTAAGGGTCTTTTTTAATCTGAGCATTTTTTTAAAATCTGTTTAGCCACAAAAGTGGAATTTCATTTTTATATCAATGACCTGAAAATCCTAAAATCATTCATATATTGAATATCATGAGCCTGACTACATCATAAAATAGGAAAGTGGATTCACAAGTATGGTCTAAGGGTTTTTGGAATTATTTTATTGATCTTATTAAGCATCATTGGTATAGTTAAGAACAGGTGTAGATGTTTATAATAGTGAAAAATAGACAATCTAAGCATATGAAGGGAAGGTTAACAAAATTATACTATTTATACACAGTCTCATGTAAGCACTAAGATCATGTTGTAGATATATATTTTTTTACTTTCCTTATCAAAAAAAAATAATAGGGACAAGGAAAAAGGCTTTGAAAGATAAATGTAATAGATAACTCTTGTTAAGTATATGTAAGGAAAACAAAAGGTATCTAACTTGTTTGTATTAGACAATAGAATAATGGAATAAATATACATATTCAAGGATGATAGAAAGGCTTTTAGGGGAGTAGGTACTAGAGATTGAAGAAGGGGTGCTACCTCCCCAGCTCTTTATTTATTTATCTACTTTTATTTTATTTTACTGTTTGGTACTGGGGATTGAACCCAAGAGTGCTTTACCATTGAATCACACCCCCAAACCTTTAAAAAAAAATTTTTTTTTTGAGACAGGGTCTTACAAAGTTGCTCAGGTTGTCCTAGAACCTTCAATCCTCCTGCCAGAGGCTGGGATTACAGGCATAGACCACCTTGCCAGGCTCTTATTTTTTGAGACAGGGACTGGCTGGCCTCAAACTTGCAATCCTCCTGCCTCAACTTCCTGAGTTGCTGGGATTACAGCTGTGTGCTACTGCACCCAGCAAAGAAGACCTGAATATGAAAGGTCAGAAGTCACATTATATCAAAGAACTCATAATAATGAGTGCTTCCAGATTTGCATTGTCAATTTGCTGGAATTCAAAGATAAATAAAGTTTATTTTGAGTTTTGGTTTTTTTTCCCCATTTTTAAAAAATGCAAGACAAGGGGGGGAAAAATCAACTTTGCTTCAGATACCTCCCAGTAAGAATACTGAAAGACTATGAGACAGTGTTTACATACAAAGTTAAGATAATATTCAAGCATAAAGATACAAATGAATATTTTCAAACATGTAAAAACTTCAGGTAATAAAGCACCTTTTAGTTCTTTTAAAAGGACATAACCATAAAGCCAAGAGACAAACCAAAATAAAGAGAACAGAAATGGAGCAGCTGTGATTGACAAGAAATAAAAGTGAGCATTCAATCCTTTCAAATGTAAAAATAAGTCTAAATAACTTTAAGGGCATTAAAAGACAATGGGAAGAAATATATGTGGAAATTCTAGAAATAACTTGAGATTAAGAGGTACAGAGAAGAAATAAAATATATATGTTAGTTTCATTAGCAGTCTTAACAGATATCCTCAAAAATTGCTAATTTAAGTTGTGGTGTTAAAAATATTAAGAAATACTAAACCAAACTTGAGATATTTTAATTTAATCACAAAATATGTACAGAAAAAAAACACAGGCTATGCAGTATAAACTAAAGATATCAACTAAGGCCAATATTTTCAGATAAATGAATGTAAAAGGAATAGATTCACTTAATAAAAGAAAAATCCAATTATGAAATGACAATAACAACCTCCACACATACACACACACACACACACACACACACACATACACACACACACACACCCATACACACACACAAAAAAGC